GCACAACTAGTGAATCAGCTACAAAGGTAAAATTATTTTATACATTGGCGAACCTTGACAAGTGCCACTCCCCTAGGCGCCTCTCAGCGTATCCTATCTTTATACGTCTAAATAGGGGACAACGTTGTCAGCACCCTATAAACCTTGTTATCACTTGTAAACTTGTGAAAGCGAGGGGTCAAATTTTGGAAGAACATGGAGAAATTAGTATAAAGACGCTAGTACCATCTCGCAAAGCTTGATGGGAATTTACCGGACCTGCAAAGCGAGTCACAGCTATTAGGAGACAAAAGAAAAACAAACAAACACGTTGACAAGCACTTACAAAGTTCCTCCCCCTCTCGATTTCAGTGCTAATTTCAAACAAATTTTCGTCATACAGCCATTGAGATTTGGAAATATGCTAATTTCAAACAAATTTTCGTCATACAGCCATTGAGATTTGGAAATAATTTTTTTTCAGATCCTACAGTGCTGGTGATGTCAATCGAGAACGCGAGCGCGAACCTCGAAAACGTATTCAAGTTGAAGGAATACAGGAAATCGACGATGAAGACGGCGATCACGAGAGAACAACGCACCCACACTTTGAATCAGGAGATGAGGAGGTTTGAGCCATTGAAGAGCTATCTAATGTTTGCTCAAATGAATCACGCTTGGTTTCTTCATTTATAGGCACCACGTCGCCGTAAGAACCGCTCACGTTCACGATCAGGACCACGTACGTTGGAAGGCGGAGAGACTCCATATAACACGATGCCACGGAGGAGTCAACGTAGGCATATGTGATCGTGAAGATAATCATCTCTTTCTTCTCGTCATGTCAAGCCTTCCCATTCTCCCACTTCTGCTTCAGTCGGGTCGAAGTGGTTCAGCCACTTCATGTTGCAGCGCGTTTAAAATGGGAATTTCATGCTGTCAATCTTTGACGACGTCTCCTTTGACACTCCTGCTATGACTTCAGCAACTTTCATACTTGAGCAGCATAATGATCTCACACAGCAGCGCTGTGTTGAAGACATGTCACGCTTATTTGGGAGGTGGTTTCTCACGGTGGGCAGTTCCGCAGCTGTAGAACAGTAGCATTACCTTCAATCAGAAGTGCGCGCAACGAAGCCTGCGGTTTGTGATATGGTTGTACATACCTGGTGACTTAGCAATCGACTTGTCTGTTTCTGAGCTAATTTTCGGCTTCTTTCATCTGATCGAGGACCCATTTGTCCTGCTGTTATTCTGCTGCTACTTACTTGGACATTGAACTCGTAATTTTGTTCACTAACGATGCTGATTACTGTCGGTAACTCCACTGTCGGACAGTAATACAATGAAGATTATACTGGCCATTAGTCAGCATCGTTAATGACGAAATAACTCGAGAGTAACGAATTTTTCGTCCGAATAAGTGGAAACAGAATAATAATGGGGTTCGCAATAAAGGGTTGGGGAGTGAGGTTGATTTTTAACTCAGAAACAGACGAAAATGCTAGCCAGTACGCATTTCGGCTGCCAATGTAGATCGATGAATTATGTGATTGACAAGTTGTTGGTGCATAAGAGGGGTTGCAGAGGCGGGGTGGAGGTGGCAGTTACGGTCAGTAGCGTAGGACAGTTGACTGCTGCCTCATGTGACCGCCTCCCTTGAGTTGCTCATGTATTCGTCTTTTACGCCATCGCCACACCACGCCATTCGGGCAGCCCGACGTAAAAAGGCATAGACAAGTAGCGCGCCCGGCTATAGTCAGGCGGGTAGCAGGCCGTGTGGCGTGGATGCGAGTGTCGCATGTCATTTAACGGGAAAAGTTAAGAACATCAATCCATTTGGGGCCTCTAGCTTCATTGCCGCACACTTTTGGATGGCGCTAGTGCTACAGCTCTACTTCTGCGAACCTGCCGACGGAAAGGACCACTTCTCAGTTAATTGCTTCAGTGTGTTTGTAAGGGGTCTTATGCTGCTCAAACTGTGTGAAAGGCTGTGCTGGTCTTCCATTCTCCTAATTGTTGTTATTTTTCCATTTTTTACGAATTCCTCTTGGCTTAGATCCAGCTATGATTTTTACGTTCGTCATACATTTGTTAATGTTGCTGGCATAATTACACCTGCATGAAATTCAATAGCATATCTGGTCATGTTGGGCTTCACCCGTTGCCTGTTAGTCTTACGCAACGATTCGCTTTGCGGTTTATTTTCGTAGCTCTCGTACTGTATACGTACACTCCACATCCCAGAGGTCGAGCGGGCGTGGCTGCGTACTTCATTTGAACGCGGCGGTGACTGCGCTTTTAAGAACTTATTTTCGCTTTGCGACAGTTGTAACCATAGTTTTGTCCAGAAATGGACAGTATGACATTTGTTTCATGTAGGAACATAGCGCAAAAAATGTATTCTACGCCATGTTCAAATTTGGTGCGCAACCACGCCCTATCCATGCCTGGGGTATGGAGTATTTCTGTTTCACTTTCTTATAGCCTAGCATTGGCTTGATTCCCGTCAATCAAGACCCTACTACGCTTTTTGTTTTGATTTTATCTGTTCGTGCGTATACGATTGACATGCTGACGCAGTGCTTCTGGTGCCTTTCCCGTTTCACCTCTTAGCCGTTTTACGTGCTATTTTATTTCCATTTTCAATTTTCAGTTAGTCTTGTTGGTTGTCGACAAACTTTCAAAATAGCCTGATCTTTTTTTCCAATTTGTCAGTCTGTGAATAGGATCCCAGTTTGTTTGGTATTATTCGAATTGGTTTCATATGCTCATTGTACAGTAAATATAACTTTTTTCAGTTGTTTCGTTTACAGTCAAGTACAGTTGAATAACGACAATCTGCAAGCTGAAATAAGCTTTATCGATTGATTTTTCGATACAACTACTTGTTCATTTGAGAGATTGGTAGTGGATACATTGCATTGCTTTGGAACATGACAACATCGGGAGTGATGGGGGGGGGGGACACTCGTAAGTGCATGGCATTCAGACTTGGTTAAGTCGTGTTAACATTTGTGAACGCCGGACAATCGTGTCTCACCCTGCAAGTCCTGCTAACTCTTGTCAAATACCTTGTAAACCCCTGCTATGCCCTGCAGCTATATGGTGCTATATCGATTAATTGAAACTAGTTCTCAAGCTTGACCATTTTGACAAGTTTGGCGGGAGTTCACACGATGCTAGACAGGATGACCGGTACTCACGGGATTTCGTAAGCTGACAAGCGCTTCCAGGTGTGCTGCTCCCCTTCCTAAGATTAGTACGCCCACCTAGTTCTTAGTGGGACTGGGGACTTGGTTCACTTAAGCTGAGGGGCCTACGCAGCGGCGCGACAAAGTCCGCCCACAGTCGATGCGTGGAGTCAGGTTATCCGCGCTGTTCTAAGGATGAATTTCGGGAGGAAAGCGATCGCTTCGCGAAGTCAAGTGGCCCCTCCTAACAACAACTGGTTTCGGTAACGTAATTTTTCGACTTTGATCGCTAACGTCCTGCTGTTGTGTAAAAATTATGCAGGATACCTACCCCCTTCTCCAAACTGCTGTTGAGCGGGCGGGTTGTCAGGTTGTCACAGACGAATTCTTAAATTCAACAATTAAAAACAGTGATTATATTGAGTAGTTGGTTCGATGTCTCTCTATCAGATTAGACGCGTGTGAGGAGGCAGGATGTGAGCTTCACTCTTTGCGAATCTATGAAGTCGCATAAAGTCTGTCTGCCTGCGATGTCAACCGACCGCTACGATGGTGTCTGCGTTTCAAGATTTGTTAGTTGAAGGCGAGTGGCAGGGAAGCGGCGACTGCATTAGCCCAGTGTTCATTCACTATTCTCTCTCTCTCTCTTGATAACCTGAAGTTGATGAAGAATTACTTCCGCCACACGGAGAAAAGAGGTGGCGTTGCGGTGGTGTAGGCAGTATTGCACCATCTATTCGACGAACAGTGCTCATCGGAAGGTGACGAGAGGCGTGGCTGTTAGAGGGGTAAGAGTCGAGCGAAAGGGAGGGAGAGACATATTTGATTCTTATGTGAGGCAAGCCGAATACATAGCCGAACTGGCACGCTTGTTTTCACTCTTAGAATTATTGGTCGAACTCTCTCCAACCTGATCAAGAAGCCAACGAGTGATAGGAACGATTTGCTAGAGCCTTGTCACTTGCTCGCTTCTACAACTGGGAGGGAACATGTTTGGCACTCTTCAGACATCATAACCGTTGCGCTCATCATTCTCTCAAAATCACTAGTGCTGCTTGTATACGATGTAGTTACTACTAAAATGACAACCAGGCACCAATTTGACACTGTGGTGTATCTTGGTGCAATAGTTCGTCAGATTGGTGATCCCAATCTTGCACAATAACGCTGGAGCTACGAAATGGTCCGGACATCATTTTCACACCTTTCTCGCCAAAGTGGTTTTTTTTTAGGATATTTGGTGTTGGGATTGCCAAGAATCTGTCATGGGCCAGCAAAAGGAGGGTTGGCCTTAACCTAGAGGAGCAGTCCTTTGCTGCGAAAGCAAATTCTATTCGAAACTGAGTAGGCACTGTCATTTCTAAACATTATCATGGCAGATATTTGTCGTGGTTTTGAATGCCTTTGGTGCGCTGCACCAAAAAGCCGCGGTGTGGGTACGCAAACGACGGCTATACTTGGTTACGTTAGCAGGGTGGTGGTGAATACTTGAGTTAGATTGTTGTGTACACTAAAAGCCAGCCTTTGTGACCCTTGCTTCCTATAGACAAAGGAATAGTCGTGAATTACCTAAGTTGAGATTATTGCACAAGTGTTCTTGTTACGTTTTCGAAATCTATGAAGATGTCAGAAGAGGCGCATGATCGTCTCGAGGGTCGAGCGGACACTTTTGGAGGGCTAGAAATTCGTAAAAAGAAGTCCGACGATGAGAAGAAACCACACGTGGAAGGCAGGTTTGTGAAAGGTTCAATAGGCTGTTCTACATTGCTTTGGAGTTCTTTAGCCAGAAATATATTTGAATTAATATATTCGGAACTTATAATCTGCTCAATGCTTCTGAAAGAATAGCTGATAATTTTTAGTGTTCTTCTTCCTTAGTCGGAAAATGAGAATTCCTTCGGTTTTCCCTCTTTGTTGAAAAGGTGTTTCGAATAGATCTTCCTTTTCCTTACTTGAAAGATGGGAAATCCTTGGTTTACCCTTCTTGCTTTACAAAAGGAGTTTCGAATAGTCTCGATAAAGTTCACATAGAGATTTCCTTTTTTTAAGCGCTCTCGTTTAGCAACTTTGTGGAGAACCTGTTCAGAACTTACGAAAAGTTCGCTTTCTACAGGAAGAGTTGCGGCAGAGCTTCGTTAGAGCCTATTCTTCGAAGTGTCGCGCCTAATTTTCGCCAATTAGTGGAAATCTGAAGTACTTCGTTTTCAGCTTGACTTGAGCTCTAAAAAGTAAAAGGTGGCTGTCGTGTAGTTCATTCCGAGAACAGCAGCTGTAGAGGAAAGCGCTAATGTTGAACCCTGTTTTACAAAAGTAGCCTCTAGTACGGACGCTAAGTACTTTTGATGCGAGATTTTCCTCCCTTATTTTCTAAATTCTCGAAATCGGTCTCTGTTTGAATGTTGACGATTGTTTTTTGCCGCCCTTTCCCTACTCAGAGAACATTTCCTAGTAATTGCGTTTGGGAAACGGCGGTAAATTGAGTTCCGCTCACGCATGGGCAAAAAAACCGCGTGATTCAGCCCTTGTGAAAGCGGGAAGATTCGGCCATTCTTTCAGCCATAATAGGAGTATCCCCACAAGCGTTTACGACTGCTTCCGGGTCTGTAGCAGGGCTAATTTGTTTCACTGAGTGGTCTAATTAGTCACATAGCTAGCTAAACTAAGCAACCAACTGAGATAGCTTCGTATTACTGAAGACAGACTCGAAACTCGCCAGAATTTTGCGTTTTTCAATAGTTTTTTCAGTGTTTCTTCGATTTTTACGTACATGGAGCTTTCGTTTTGGAATGATCGTTTGCGCAAGGGAATATGGAATTTTGAAAACTACTTTCATACGCCTCGCAAATATGATGCAACCATGCGTGAGAACTGGGTCAACCGACATGACCATTTATTTCGAATTTATTTAGAAATTGTTTCGGGACTGTTAGGAAGGGCAAATCCTGTTGATATGCAAAACGCACGTTGTCATTCATTTACCGTGTGAAAGACTGCCCCCTATATACTGCAAAACGTGAAAGGCGAGAAGACGTGGCTTTCTTCGTTGAATGAATGAAGGAGGGCAAGTCAAGTGAGCATGAAACGCATCGCTCTGTGTAATATAGCTTTTCTCTTTTCAGTTCGAAAATAACTAATACAATTTCTGAAAATTGTTAAAAGAGAGCAATGTTCAATGTGACCTTGACTGAAAAGTTCTGTATATTTATTTTTTTTCTTCTCTAGATCTTTTGCTTTTTTAGATCCGTACTTGGACTTGACCGACTGGCTCGTGCAAAGAAAGACGAGCATTTAAGGAAAAGAAGCGATGGTGGTGAAACTCCAGATGTGGGAGTAACTGATAGCGTTCGCCGAGGCATTCAGAAGTTAGTGACTATTTCAAAAATTCTCTTAGGCCTAAACTGTATAGAACACACTTTTTCTGAGGTATAAAGGTGTCAGGATATCTGTCAACCACGTAGCTACCCTCCTCCTTCCCTTTTCTCCCCTTCCTTCTTTTCGCATTTCTTCTCTTCTGCTTTATTTCTCTCTTGTTATCCCTCGTTCCAAACATGCGAGGAGAAACACTTCTGGCACCCTCCGGCACCGAAGTACCTCTGGCGGGCTCTGCAGTGGCGGCACTTCCCACGTTTTTTTTTTTCTTTTTGCACCGCAAGCTTGCGCTGTTCTCTACTGTTTGCTTCGAAACTCTTTTTATTCAACATTGCGAAACGCTCACAGCGCTAAGAGAGAAAGAGTGCCGGGTAGTTTGTTGTTCGTGAAATGGGTGTTTTGCGTTTCCTGAACTCGTGTTGCGTCACAGAGCTTTTTTTTCTTGTAGAACGTTGTAAGAGCGTTTAATGCCGACCAATTAGAGTAAGCCTATTGCGACTGCCTTATGGGTATAGCCACGGAAATGGTCTAGAAAAGATGGTGAATAAGAATTGTTAGTGTAGTCCATCGGTCAATTCAAATACGTAGCAAGCCTCACTCTGACTGGGAGATTTGAACGAACCCTCGAAAGTTTCGAAATACAGAATACGGAAGCTTCTTCTGAACTTAGGATTTTAGGAGGACCTCAAAAACTTGCGTTCTCCTTTTTGCGCGACAGTTTCGGTAAGAGAAATTCACTGCGAAATTTTACAGCTTTTATTGTAAGGCAGCAGGTAGTTCTTTTTCGCAGTAAGTAAATTTTTCCAAGGAGCTTTCCCAATAATATGCAGGGTTTTCCCTACTTCATACAAGCGTTCCTTTATGTTATTGCCGGCGGAGGCGAAGGTTTGATTTAATTATCACACATTATGTCTCGTTTTCATATTTTCATTTTTCTTCGTTTCAATACCAATTATTCCCACTATCTAAAGGGTCTATTTTGTGCCCTGTTTTCGGCTATAATTTACAATGGTGGACAAATTTCTCCTCCAGTTCATTTTTTCTGGATCTCTGGTCCAGGCTTTGGCCCATAACTCAGCGGTGCGTGATAATACTCTTCAGATATAGTTTTCTTGTGCGCCTCTCGAGGTTTTTTTAGGTGGAACACTTTTAGCGGCCCGACGTTGGCTGTGTAAAGGACGATTTACCGTCGAAACCTCGGCGCTAAAAGTAAAAGTGTTCCACCTAAAAAGAAAACACAAGAAAACAAACTGATAAGAACAACTTAATGCCGATACAAAATGAGAGAAGCCTAGGGAGAATCTCTCCAGGTATTTGTTCTGAGCTTCAATTACTATGCAGCATAGTCCGGTTTTTTTTGCGGGTTATACCAGACGTAGATAGCTTTGGCTGGATCACATGGTTTCAGTTTATTGCGGCACTTTATTTAGATATCAAGCTGAGAAATATCGTGATGAGCGCCGTGGTCTTGTGGCGGATAGTAGAAAACGTGATCGAGACCGAGATCGTGACAGGAAAGATCGCGATGATGACCGTCGTTCGAGAGATCGTCGAGAAGACCGAAAGAGATCCGATCGGAGCGATCGCCGTGATGAGAAAAGAAAGCGTAAAGAATACGAGACTCCAGACTTCAAGGTATGCTTTTGGCGTCGATAAACGATTTCTTTCCAGTCTACACCTTATCCTTATCGCTAAGTATTCATGTTTACTTCTCATAGGTCGGCATTTCACGCCTTCGGCGTACGGGGCTGGGACCGACGATGATGGACCTGTGAAAAAATCTTCATGGGATACACCGTCACCGAGAACAGTGTCGTCATCTCGTCGAGGAGACTCCGAAAGAAGTGCGTTGTTGATTGATTTGGATTCCTGGTATTTTTCTGTCAGATAATTTACCTTGATGCTAATTTTACGTTGTTATCTCAGCTGGATGCGCGAGGTGTTTCTTGGCTGTCGGTGGCCTTGGAAGGGGCATTTACGATCCCGCTAGTGTCCGCTTTGTGAGGTAGGGCACGACCGTCAGTTGGGTGAGATCCTGGATAGTCGCTGCTGAAGCTTGCGAAGTGGCGCGCGACTGGAGCTACACTGGTCACAGAAATTTACTGCCGCCCCACCAAGCTGAACTGCCTTTGTTACGTTTGAACTCATTTTCACTTCTATTTAATTTTTTAGGCGTTGGAAGCATATGGCGGAGCGAACGAGATCGTCGTGAACAAGAGCAACGGAGGAAGCATGCGCGTGGTGAAGATACTATCCGATCCGTGAAGGAAGAAGGCTTCGAGTTAGCGATGTTTCACTTGTATGCTTTTGATCTTAAGCATATCCCAAGGTTAAAATGTAGCTTTCCTCTTTTCTAATGAGACTTTCAGACCAAAGTTCCACGACGATGCTGAGCGTGAACAGTGGGAAGCTGAGCAGAAGATTATCGATCGTGAATGGTACGATAACGATGGTGTCTATGACGAGGAGTACAATCCATTTGCAAAGGTAATCAACTGATTGTATCAAACAGGATTTTAAAGTTTGGCGCAGTTTCGTTTTGGGGAGAGGGGATGGTCACGTTTTCATTTCTAAAGAATACCTGTCAGGCTCTATAAAGCAATAAACAGGGCGATGTGCAGTAGCGAAAGTGCACAATGCCCCCATCTCTCTCCCCCCCCCCCCCCTCAAACCGAACTGCACCGTTTACTGTGATAAGCCGTTTATTTATTCGATAATTTCTAGCGCTTGAAAGAACTTTTTTGCCCGATTCGATTACAGTAACCCTTTGCAGGTCAGCGAGGAATTCGTAGAAAAACGTGAGAAACAGTGGCAAGAGAAAACTACGTCGGCGCGCCCTCGACTCACATTAAAGCAGCAGTCTATAAAACGGGAACACGAGCTTTGGGAAAACAACAGGCTCCATAGATCAGGTAAGTGAATGACGAAGCGTTATTCTCTTTTATTACTTCCTTGAAGAGTTGAAGTATTTATTAATTGATTTTCTTGTATCTATTTCAATATACCTCATTTTTTAGGTGTGGTTGCACTGACAGATGACTTATCTACCCTCTTCGATGACGAAACAGATGAGAACCGTGTCAATTTGCTCGTCCATAATATAGTTCCTCCGTTTCTCGATGGTCGAATTGTATTTACCAAGGTACTGTATTTTTTGTTTTGTTTTATAATTTCGAGGAATATTGCTAAATAAAGCTGTTGAGCTCTTCCTGTTTTTCATTTTTGGGTTTCTTTTTGTTGTTTTGTCTGAAATTGAGATTTAAGCAATCAAAACCCGTCATTCCGGTAGTTGACACTACCTGTGACATGGCCGTGGCGGCAGCTCGAGGGAGCAAAGTGGTACGACAGTTTCGAGAATCGGAAGAAAGGAAAAAGGTTGGCACATTTCTCATATTTTCTGATATATTCCCAGAAAGTATAAATTCTTTTAGGCTCAAGAGAAGCACTGGGAATTGGCAGGTAGTAAGCTTGGCAATATAATGGGTGTCAAGCAGAAGCCAGATGAAATGGAGGATCCCGACAAAGATGATGCTAGTGATTACAGGGTACGTGTTGGGCTGAAAGTCTGAAAAATTAGAATTAAGAAATTAAAATTAATTAAAAGTGGGCGCAGTTCGGCTTGAAGGGGCACCGAAATCAACACGGGTTGTGCACATCACCTTGTGAAGACCTGTAAGTTCCCGTAACCAATGTGACTCACTCGCACCGTTTTGCAACTTCACGGGAGTTTTCAAACCTGAACGAAGTGAAACATGCTGTTTAAATAGAACTCAGAAAAGGAACTCCCGTAAAGGTAAAAGTGCCCCCTCCAGGCCGAACAGCACCAGATTTTGTGATGTTTTATATTTTCTACTATGTGTATATCATTCATGGTAATTTTCAGGAGTCTCACCAGTTTGCGTCGCACATGAGTGAAAAAACTGAGGCTGTTTCCGATTTCGCAATGGAGAAGACATTGAGGGTGAGGTTTATGTCTCTTTCACCAGCTTCTGTCGTTAGCCATAAGAGAGGAACGAGCGGGCGTCCCGAGATTTTTCGCTAAATACGACCCCCTCCCAGTTTTCTTCGCTGGGTAGCCAAATATGGCTTCCCGTTGAAGATCCCCAGCAGTGTCTCCTGTGCTTACACCCACAGTGTCCCCGTGTGCTTTACGTTCTCCCATTTCTTAAGTTCATACTCGAACAAAGTTCCCAGTGTTCTTAATCCTGAAATTCTATTTTATTTGGCGTGATAACTGAATGTTGCAGGCGACAACGAGATATTTACCACGTTGTTTTGCGTGTCGACAAAAAATGCTAAATGTCATAAGGGAGAACAATGTTGTCATATCATAGTCGGTGAGACTGGTTCCGGAAAGACCACACAGCTGGCACAATATCTGCTCGAAGAAGGTTTCGGGACCACAGGTATTGACTTCGTTTTGTTTTTCTTTCCTTGCGAAGGTGTTGCGAGGAGATCTATAACGCTGCGTTCATACTATGCGACGGGAAATTTGAAGTAGTCGTGTATGGGGTGAACGCGCACAAAAGGCGTGGATTGGTGTCGATAGGCGCTCGTTAAGCGATCGGGGGAGGAGGATGAGATTTGGAGAACCTGTGAATCGACGTTTTGGAAGGAACGCGGCAGTTGTACTCAAAACATAGTCTGGCCTAGCGGGGAGCCGGCGCCGACTTGCGCCAATAAATTGGTACCCATCCATTCCTCTTTCGCATATTTTACCAAAAATCCGATTTGTTGATTATCCCGTTTTCACATTCTCCCGAGGCAAAGTGTGAAAGTGGCCTAAGGAGTTATGAAGATTGGGACCATCCTTTTGCTGCTTCAAAATGTACTGAGTGTGAGAAGCTAGGGCAGTGAGCTTTGCCCACTAACAATAAAGTGCAAGTTCCTTTGAGACATTGCGGACTGCCGTACTGCGCACATCTCCCGATCAGTTCATCATTTTCATGAGTTTCATCAGAAATTTCCCCCCCCTTTCGATCGTTTTTTAAGGAATGGGCCCTTTCGTAACCGGAACACATGTTTTCGCAACATTAACATGAAAGACATGTCAAATTGATCGAATTGCTCTCTGTCCAGAGACAAATCCGTGACACACCATGTGTGTCATGCGGTCCGGAACGTGTTAAAGTGACGCTGCACGCGAGGGCCACTATTCACAGATTGCGACGGCGGTTTGGGGAGGAAAGCAAATAGTCATCGATCGGAGAACTCGCCCAACCGCTGCGGTTCGCGTTTGGCGAAATCTTATGTAGATGCTGTATCGATTTCTTTCTGGCCGAAAAACGCCACCGCGATGGAGCTAGCGTTTTGTCGAAGGCGAAAAAAACGTCGCGGTTTGGCGAAACGCCCGTCGATACGTACCAAAACCCTTTCGCCCAACCGCCAGGCTCTTCGCCCAACCGCCAGTCGATATGTATCGAAAGCTTTTTCGCCGAACCCGCCGCGTTTTCAGAGAAACGCTGGACCGAGAGTGCTGAAACAATGCCTGAGTTTTCCTTTTGGATGGTCTGTAGCTTGACGCCGCCATGGATTCATTTCTATAGGCCGTATCTCTCCATGCCTATGCACCCCTCATGCATTGCGCGCATACCTTACTAAAACAATATCCAAAGAGTGAAAAGTTGTGATGTGTTTAGGCCCTACCAGATTACCACTTTGTCAGATATGGGTTCCACCACGTCTGATATCCTAGGGGAAACTTGACCATTAGGACACCAAGTGGCCTAAGTCCAGCATTCATCCTATGGCGTCCTTTCTAGGGATCATCGGCTGCACCCAACCACGTCGAGTTGCCGCTATGAGTGTTGCCAAGCGCTGTGCCCTGATGAAATGCGCATGTAGAGGGTAGTGATTTTCCGTTTCTTTACATGCAGTCATACAAACAAAGGTCTAGAAATACTGTGGTTTCAGCTTGGTCAAGAAGTTGGGTATGCAATCCGTTTCGAAGACTGTACGTCAGAAAAGACTGTCATAAAATACATGACAGACGGTATTCTACTCAGGGAATGTCTGGGTGATGGTGATCTCGATCAGTACAGTGCCATTATTATGGACGAAGCTCACGAGCGGTATTTATTGATGCTCTTCCAGTTTTCAAGCTTGTTGAAAATAGACAAATTGGGGAACTGTCGCTCAGTTGTCATACTCTGTTCATAAGAGTGCGTGTGCTTTAGTTGGCCGGGACGCTTGAATGGTTGCCAGATAAGCTTTATACACGGCGTTACCTGTGAAAGACTGCTAAACTCTGTGACCGTAAATGTCTGCATCCGTACAATTTTCAAGCTACACAGAAATTCACATTCCTGACCAAGTGCAAGACCCGTGTCGCATGAACCAACGAGAACTAGCGGCCAAAGTGAAGAAATGTCCTCCTCTAAGCCGAACAGCGTCTTATAAGAACCATATTTTAGCATAACGAATAGCCTCTGTGGGAGAACCGTTATGATTCAGTCTATTATAGTTCACTGAATACTGATGTTCTATTCGGTTTGCTTCGAAGAATGTGATTGCCGACGCGCCGATTTGCCGCGTCTTGAATGTCACCTCCGCCTACGATGGATGCTGAAAATTTGCGAATTTCTTTGGAGGTGTTAGTCCTTTTCATGACTGGTTCTCCCTAGCAAAGGATCGGTATTCTAGATGTCTCTTCGAAGATCAAGTTGAATTTCCCACTATTCAGGTAGCTGTCCAACATTTACGATACCTGGCCGTACGTTCCCTGTGGAAATCTTCCACGCAAGAGCCCCGGTAAGATTTTTTGTGATGTTGAAAGTGTCAGTAGTGGCTTCATAATCGACGTCCACGCTGACCGTATGGGCGGAGTCAGCCAACTATTGAACTTATTGGTGCAACCTCCTTTCCAGTAGATAGGAAGAGCGCGCTTTTGAGAAGTCACAGTTGTTAGTCTCTATGCACTTACGATTAGCATGGACTGCACGTGTAATATAACTGGATCATGAGTTTTCATTTTTTTTATTTCACGCTTGACAACTTTTAGTTTAGTGCTGTAACACAAAAACAATAAAAAAAAAAAAAAAAAAAAATAACAACAATGTGAAACTCCAAAAGTTTATTCCAAAAGACTCAAAAGACAGTGAAAGTCTCAAAAGTTTGTTATAATATATCTTAACTTGCGATATTTCGGTGCGTAGCACCTTCGTCAGGCCAGTTGTCCCGAAATAAAATTTATTTCGGGACAACGGGACAACTGGCCTGACGAAGGTGCTACGCACCGAAATATCGCAAGTTAAGATATATTATAACAAACTTTTGAGACTTTCACTGTCTTTTGAGTCTTTTGGAATAAACTTTTGGAGTTTCACATTGTTGTTACACACTCAGATAAGAAATGAGACTCCGGGACAGCACCATACTCCGATTTTAATTTTTTTGCGTTTAGCGTCGAAGATTATGTTGGATGCCGCCAGTCAAACAAGCGATTAATGTTACACCTGGTTGCATGGAATGCGAGGATATCTTAATTATTCATGCCTGGTCAAGAGGATATTGAGGTTGGTGAAGTCCCGACAGTGAGAATAAGCAGTTTCTTAGAGTCTGTGACGGGCTTTCTAATGCAGTAGTTGTTCAAATTTACCTGCTGTTTAGGCGGTCACGTGTAGTTTGATGACAGTACAGACTTGAAAGAATTGCGGACGAAGCTCCCTTTGCGTGTTGTTCCAAATCATTCTCAGTTACCCAGTGACTTACAGGTACAAATTCACAAATTTGTTGATTTTCGGAACAACTTTTATTTGGATTAAAACTCACCTTCCAGGCGAAAATCTTCCAACGTGCTCCTGGGGGCATGCGAAAATGTATTGTGGCCACGAACATCGCTGAGACATCTCTAACCGTTGACGGTATTCTGTTCGTGATCGATCCGGGTTTTTGTAAAATGAAAGTCTACAACCCACGTATTGGTATGGATGCTTTGCAGGTTGGTAACTCTCGGCTGTTCATGTTCCGTGAGTAGCAGGCAGGAGATGAACTATCTGTAAACGCCCTTGTTTTGGAGTTGTGTAGTAGTTTTTGACAGTCTGCAGACTCGCGTATCACAAGCAGTCCATGATTGCTTTCTAATAAGTGTACAATCTTATAGAATGCCGGTTACTACTGTATTGAGAGACTTTGTAAAGGCGACGTTTAATTTATGTGAGATCAAAAAGGCTCTTAGGATTGATGATGCAAGTGAGAGTGGAATCGCTCCTCAAATTTTAATGAAATTAGTTGTGGACGGAGGCGATGTAACGGGGGGCTGGCGTGGCGCCTAGCCGGGACGTCCTGCTGTTTCGAATCCCCCTTTCCTCCCACACTTTCTTTCAGTGGTACAACTCCCTTCCCTACCACCATTGTCCTGAATTTCTCAACATCCTACCACCCGCTATTTCCAATTTCTAAAATTTATTTCCAGAAATTCACCGCCATCGAGCGGGGAGGAGGAGCTACATACGAAAAGCTCACCTACACACGAAACAAAAAAAAACCCGAGAAAAAGAAAAATCGTCCACCGATGACGTTTTTTTACCAAGGGCAAATGCGAGCCTCCTTCCAGTGATCAAATATGACCCCTTCGCTGGGAAGCCCCAAGGTACAGCGTGCCCTGGTGGCTACTCATATCACCCGCATGGCCCGGGACACGAGTCTTGGATCAGCTCCTTCCAGGACCACCCGCCCCCGCCCTGGAAAGTTCTTCCTCTCACCGATATCCATTAGTTGATACCAGTTTTGTTCCATACTAACCTTAGCGTCACGTTAATGAGGCTTCAAGATTGTGCTCGTTTGTGAAAATCGTCTTACTATTTTAGATTTTCCCCGTGTCTCAAGCGTCAGCAAATCAAAGAGCTGGTCGTGCTGGACGAACAGGACCAGGACAGTGCTTCCGTCTCTACACTGAGCGACAGTTCAAAGAGGAGTTGCTCGTGAGTTTTCTCTCCCAACCCAGCTCACCTTCCGGGAGTTTCAGAGCCTAAAGTTTTCAACTGGCTCATGTTCTTTACATGGTTCCAAGTATGCCTCTGTTCTCTTCAGGTGTCGACTGTCCCTGAAATCCAACGAACGAATCTGTCCAATGTGGTGCTACTGCTGAAGTCTCTTGGTGTTGACGATCTGCTTAAGTTCATTTCAAATGGACGCAGCGCACTCAAGACAATAATGCTTGAATTCCAATGTATCAGGCCTCTGGATCTCTTGAGCACTTCGACCAATACTGGACAGTCAGTTTTGTAACGTCAGATCTTTCTGATTTCAACTTATGAGGAGCCACTAGAGTGTTAGTGGTAACTTGTAGCATACTAAACTAGAGCTATGCCTCGAATCGTGGTCAAAATGTTTTTACTTCACTTATAGTTTTGAACTATTTGATGAGTTTTCAGGCTGACGGATCTTGGTAGGACCATGGTTGAATTTCCATTGGATCCAACTCTTTCGAAAATGTTGATCATGTCTGAATCGATGGGATGCAGTGAGGACACGTCAGTATTTATTTCTAGGGCTTTTTTAGTTTTCTTGATAGGAAGACGCTACATGCCCAAACTACGGAAAATTCATAGGAAGGCTAACAACCAAACTGAACTAATTGGTATTCCAATTGTGTCGATTGCAGGTCTTAACGATCGTATCAATGCTTTCTGTCCCGGCCATATTTTTCCGACCGAAAGGTAGGGAAGATGAAGCTGATGCGAAGAAGGAGAAGTTTCAGGTAAATTTCTTCTCATTCTTTTTGTTCTGTTCTGTCGCAGGCGATTTCCTGGACCTTGTTCTAACCCTTCTCGTTTTGTTTTAGGTTCCAGAATCAGATCATTTAACATTTTTGAATGTTTATTTGCAATGGAGGCAACACAAGTATTCGGCCAGGTGGTGCGCGGATAACTACATGCCATGCCAAAGCCCATTAAAAAAGGTAGTGCAGAGTTAAATAAGCGACAGAGTTCAATCTTTAATCTCCGAGGCCATACTTCTGATGTAGTTTCACCAGTTATCGGTCCGAATGAGGAGTATTTTTGTAGGTCCGTGAAGTGCGGGCTCAACTGAAAGAAATCATGCAAGAGCAGAAGATCAAGATTGTTTCTACTGGAAGTGACTGGGACGTAATTCGAAAGTGTATCTGTTCGGCGTATTTCCACAATGCTGGCAGGTCCGATGCTTTGCCCTTCCTATTATTTTGGAAGATTTGTCTTCATTTATCTCATTTTTACATGTTTGCAGTTGCCAACAACAAGTTTTTTTAGAATAGAGTTGAGTTTTGAATGTTCTCACAGATTCCCAAAGGCCTAATTTTCAGGTTGAAAGGTATCGGTGAATATGTTAACGTCCGTACAGGTATTCCATGTTTCCTGCATCCGACGTCGGCGCTATTTGGAATGGGTTTCATGCCCGATTATGTGGTACGTTTATAGCTCTTGTTTAGGGTTCGGTTTTGCAGTGAGCAAAGTGGTCGTTCAGTACGACTTCTTCATTTCCTAATTGGTAGAAACACCTTTCTGGGCGAGTAAAATGCGCACGCTTCCTCTTGACCTTCCTCTTCACCTTCCTCTTGTTGTTGAGGTTCCTCAACCGGGCTGTGTCTTGTGAATGATTATATCGATAGGTAACGGGGGCAAATGTGAAAGTCGTTTTGTGCTAATCAACTGCTGTATAGCATGTGCAGGTTGCGCTCTGGAACAGATCGAAGTGCAGGAAAATTTTGGACAGATGTCTTGACCTCAAAGGTGGGGCTTCTAACCCACACCCTCCCCTTTCCCCCATGTGTTCGCTATCCATTAGAGCCATGAAGGCCTCTCCCACACCTCGCCTCAATGCTTTGGCGGCATAGCCTTGAAGACAAATGCTCGAATGAATCCCCAAACGTGCAGGTTTATGCGGCCTAGCAGGGACAGAATTCGGCGTGCATCTTAGCAGACGAAATATTCGTGCGCCTTCTCCAAGCAAGGTATCCATGATAGCGCCCTACCGAGGCCTGCAACATACCGACTCGGTAGCACTGCGCACTGGCACCCATCCGACCACGAATGTTCGACCGATGCTGATGCTCGTATCGCTTCATTTGCGAAGTACAGTATGGAGCGAAGAGATTGATATGACGAGGCTGCGGCGCTGCATCGAAATATGAGTACTACAGCGTCGCGTTTACCGTAGCAGTAACTGGCACGATATCATCGAGAAACTCGACCAATATTGCTTTCTGCTTCGTGTAAAGGCTCTTCTCTGCGGTTTTTGGCCATTTCGGCACTTCTTTTTCCGGCATTTTCCCATGACATAAGTACCTCTGCTACCGTTTAAGACCGAGTACCAAATTATCGGCGCCCTTTATGCCGTTAAAGCGCTTGAAGCTAAGGCCATTGAGACAGAAGAGGATAAAAAGCTGGTCTGATGGCGCAACTGATAGCACACATAAAAAGTGAGGTTCGTGGTCCCTCGGTCAATACTTTACCCAGGCGCTGTTTATCGACGGGGGGCGTTCTGCTTTTCATAGATTTGCCAACCCATCTAGGTACCTTTTTTCGAGTTGACACGTTTTAGGATGGTGGCTAGACGATCTTGCTCCAGCTTCACAAGCGTTCACAAGTTTTACCAGAGTGAGATTTGTAAACCGGAAGCAATTATAATACAAATGCCTCCCCCCCCCCCGTCGATAGCGCCCTTTTACCCATAACTCAGCATTCTTGTGAATAGTCATTTTTAGAAAGGGCGGCCTTACACGGCGGCGTTTGTCCAGGACTTAGTTCGACTTTACCCTCTTTTGAGTGATCCTATGGGATGAGAGTGAGAGGCTAGTAGAAACTGTGCATCGAAGATTTCATGTGAAACTCGTTTCGTTTACCCATGCATATTTTGCGCCCTATGGCAAAAGTTCCTCACGCCTTGTCGTTAAATAAGATGCATACGCAGCTTTTATTTTTAACGACCTCAGCAATCTAAGGATTCCTGTTTTCATGACTATTACTTCAGGTCTATCACGAATTGGTGATGACAGCCAAGGAATACATGCAGTGTGTAACAGCTGTGGATGCTGTATGGCTTGCTGAATTGGGACCCATGTTCTATTCGGTGAAGGTGAGTTTCAGAGTTTTCAGTTCGAAAAAAAATCAGATGGTAGCGAGAATATGAAGTCTTGTTTCTGCAGTGGTTGAGTAGAAAACATCTTTTGATCTGCGGGGTGTGCTGGTTGACCAGACCTAATTGCGCCCCTTCTCCAGGGCATGTCCGGAAGTTTTGCCGGCTTTGGGGGAAGAATCGATCAACAATAGAACATGTACCAGCCCTGTGTTGATCTGTGATTCCATATTTCATTGAGTCGTATTCTTTTTGTCTCGGAAAGTCCCCCCGAATTACCTGCTTTGATGATTTTGCCTAGCTAACCGCTACGCGACCACGCGCGTGGTGCTCACATACTACGACATCAAATTTAAATCTACCAACGACTATTCCACTAACCAGGGCGCAGGGGATTTTGGTCGAGTCAACCCCACGCCCCCCTCCGTCGCTCCTGTTTTCTTCATCCGAGTATCTCAGATTTTGCCACGGTTTTCGCGCCACTTTTCTAAAATTTCCCGTGAAATTCCTACTTTTTCCCAAAAATTTTCAAATTTTCTTGTCGAGGGGGGGGTATAGTACACATGAAACAGGAAGATCACGAAGTCAACCACCTTTCCCAGAAGGCCAGAAAGTATATACGACCCCCCCCCCCTCTCAACAACGCGTCCATGAAGCGAGAAAAATCAACTATCAAAATAAATTTTTCTCAGCCCAAATACGACCCCCTCTCTGGCGACCAAATACGACCCCCTATTGGGGATTCCCCAACAACTATGTGCCCTGCCACTAACTATTCCACGACATTGTTCAAATATAGATAAATTTTTCAGGAGTCGAGGACGTCTAGGTCAGAGAAGCGTTTGGAAAGTGTACGTACAGCTGAGAGTATGGAGGAAGAGATGCGATTGGCTCAAAAGGAGATGCAACGACGGAAAGAGGAGTTCGAGAGGGTTTCTAAGCGACCAGACAGTGAACGAATCGCGGATGTCGGTCGTTCAGTTCGCAGTAAACGATGGGGAATGTAGCAATGCCTAGTTACTTGTTTGTGATGTTCTAGTGATCTTTATCTAATTAAACCTTACGGTTGATCTACCACGTGTTTATACCTCATCGTCAGTGGTAACTGCGAGAACTCGAGTACATTTCCTCATTATCGTTATATCATCTTATCAGAGTGATCACCTAAAATGGATCTGTTATAAGTTGTATAGTGACATTCGTAAATGTTTGTACTTTCTATGAAAACGATTGTAAATAAATGTTCCATATAACTGTTTTTCAATGAAATAGGATTGGTTGTTCTTCCAGAATATTTGGTGATCGTCAGGTTTCCTAATAAGTCCTTCTATTCCTATCTGTCAAGGCTTTTCTAAATAATCTTCCAAGAGGCCTAGCTATTTGGCTAGTTTTGACGTTTCGAAAATTTCAGATGGAGCTACTTCCAACCGAGCTGTTGCAGAGGATCGGTATATGCCTACCATATACTGATCGGTTGAACCTATCACTTGCCTGTTCTCGAATTTTCACCGCTTTAGGTAGGTGAAGATACCTGATGCAAGCTTTGGAGGGGGTAATTAGCGGGCAGTGTTTGTTCCGCTCAGAGGACGCAGTGCAACAAATGTGAGCAAAAATTTAACAGCAGATGCCGTAGGCATACGGCGCCAATAATCTGGGAGTGGGGCTTCAGGGTTGATGAATCATTTTGAATTGGGGTAATTCTACTTGGATGATGTTATTCCCGCTTTTGTGCGAGTACTCTTCTAAATGCATCTCTCCTCTCATCCCCAATCACCCAGGGGTAAAGCATCAGAAATACAAGACGTTTTGAAGTTGTGAAGTTTTGAACAGCTAAACAACGTGCTCACCGCGAAATCGATCTCAGTTCGGGGATTAGCTTCATTCACAGCGCCTGCTGAAGCGAATAGTTGGAAAGGAAATGATGCGTGTCACATCCTTGTTGATTCGGAAGGTTGGCGACTTGGTGAGAGGGTTTATATGCCAGTAAGCCAGGGTAGCTTTTTCCACCAATGATACAATCCTGAGCGCGGGCAGCTTTTTCGGGAAACCCAGCTGTACTCCATGTCCCGCTCCCGTCACACGCTCTATCGTTTTCGGGGATCACGACTGCAGTTGTCATAGAAAACTTTTTTCGCACTCCTAGTCGTCCTTAGAGCGGCACCGCGAGTGCGTAGCGCGCGCAGCATTCGCAATACGGCCCAACGAGTTCGGTGCGAAATCCCCGCAGTAGGACAACGTTCAGTCTTCGCGATCGCGTGATCCAGTTCGCGCGAAGTGGATCGCGCGAAGTCTGAATGCGCTCCAAGTCCAAACAAGTTGCTACGAGACACTGCGCACGCCAGGTTACTTTCTACGGGCGCTATAATTCGAAATTCCTGGTTCACATTCAGGGAATGCTACCCATTAGTGATGCCTTTCAGGTGAGGTGTGAACATAGGCTTGTTTCAGTAGTCATGAAACACCATCGAGTGTCTATTCAAGAACATGTTTAAGGTGTTCGGGCTGATTTCGACATTGTAACTTTGTTACTACTTCGTTCTGTGTTTACGGTTTCTTGAGCTTCTGACCTGACACTCTTCGAGCTTGTAAAACTAGGACAGTGGTTCGAATGAAAAAGGAGTAAAAAAACAGTATTCGTTTTCGGGTGTAGTTATTTCTGTGTATTTCTCAGGTTATCTACTCGAATTGAAATAATCAATTTTTAGGACGTCTTCTACCACGGCCGTCGAATGTTCGCATACAAATCGGGAACTGTCCTGCACGCTCGACGTGGAGAGAATGATGACAGCTCCGTGGCTCTCTGCCAATGTGATCGTCACGACACCCACTCGCTGCTGTCGTTCGCCATTCCCCATCTTTTGAAAAGTTTGTTTTCCTGTGAAATTTTTTTCCAGTCATTGCCTTAAGGTTCCCACAATATCGCGTCTCCATCCAAAGTTTGTAAACATTCAATAGCTGAAATGGCTTCAACGCGCAATTCAAAAAAACCATCGGTCACGTGGCGATGATCAGTTTCTTTAAGACGCAGTCTGCTTCCATTAGAAATTGTATTACCATTCTGGAAGTTTCCACAGTGATGGAATCATGGGTGGTATATTATTCTGTTTACTAGCTGTGGCGCCTGGTGTGGATTAGTACTCTTCTCTACCTCTAAGGAGTTTCATGAGAATAGAAGTCCTGGAGTTGGTCCTGTGTCAAAGGACGCAGTAATTTGTTCTAACACGCACAGGCTTCACATTGCCGCTACGCCACTCTTCCACACATTCCAGATTTGTCGTATTTAAGTAGTTTCATAGCTATTATGTGTCGGTGAAACTACGGACTGCGTATAATAGTACTTATCGCCTCACAACTTAATCGTTTCCGTTTAAAGGGTTACTTCATTAAAATTCTCTCTGGAAGAATTCTGTGTGAAGTCATCGCTGAGCTATTAAGGTGCCAAATCATTGGAGTTAGAAGACGAACTTTTACGTGATCGGATCAGAGACAGCCACTTCCACGAGCTGGTTACACGTTCGGCTTCTGCACCTCTGACCAGGTTCTGTTCTGTGGTACTGCGTAGATCGGTGGATTTCTGAGCAAGTCTGAGGAATATTGTCAAGCAGTATCGATCCTAATGACGCAATTTTCTAGACAGTAGTGAAGTTGTCCGATATTTCAGGCTCGCTCTATCCAACTGAGCGACCTAGGCGGCGTGAAACCGTGGACACTGGCGCAATTGGCACAGTTTACGGAGCTTCAGGAGGTTCGTACTGTCGAATGTTTTGATGAATTCTTTTCCCTTATCACAAGACTAGCTGAGTTATGAGCGGAATTGCCTCAAGGCGTCGCCTCGGCTTTCCGCGCAAGCGTAATGGATAGCGGAAGCCTAAAATGTGAAGGTTGGAGCCTCGCCTGTGGTCAAGACTTTGGCCTAAAGCTCAACATTCTCGTTTTGACGAACCTAGCGCGAACTGCGGCGTCAAACAGCGGTCATGGATCTAGAATTACTTGGTGCATTTTTTACTGAATTCTTAAGTGCTTTGCTCCGCTGTTCTTCTTCCGTAGTTTTGCGGCGAAGTGGGCGCATTATATGGACAAAACCTTCCTTAGAGGGTATGGTATCGCGGGACAAGGAAGAATAGGAACGCTTCGAGCGTTGGTCAGGACGCTTTTGGGACGCGCCCCGCATTTTCGAATCTTAGTGCTTTTTGAGTGCGCATCAGTCAATGAAAATAAAGCGCCAGACGAGTGCGGTAAACTTTGGGCCGGCCTCGGAAAGCGATGTATGGCTTGGTGACGCTGGGTTGTCAGCCGATGCTAGGACTTAACGCGAATCCACGCCACCAACTTGAGCGACTTGGCATAATAGTAAAGACAGTTCCGCATAGAATACAGGCGGCTTTGACGCCAGTTCTCACGAGTGAATGTATTTCGTCCATAATTTCATTACAATGGCGTTTTTTACTAACCATTTGCTATTTCACCATTTTACTTTTCCTTCCTAGCTCATCTTTGACGCATGCACCTTTTCTGTGTCGGAGAGTCAACTTATTCGTGGAATGGCACCGTCATTCAGTACTCTTTCAAGGCTCGATAAATGATAGTCACCAGGTCAGTTCATTATTGCCGTTGTTTCCACGCGCTGTGACTGAGAAGTATGCCCGTTGTAGGGATAAAAATTGTGCCGTTCTTTCATTCAGTCGCTCAACTCCTCCATAAGATCCCCGGGCCGCTCCTCTTGAAGATCAATCAATTCTAGAGCTTCATTAAATAGGTATTCTGCAGTCGATAAAAAAAACCAAAGAACCCTCCCATCTCTCCTTGGACTGGTACTGTGTTCCTCATTAAATTCAATCTTTAACTGTTCCGAGCAGAATCCCACTACACAGCGCACGCCTGAAAAAGCTCTAAGAACTTTTGCGATCCTACTTATCTTCTTATGCTACTTCACAAACCAAATGGTTCCTCTATTCTATACTGTATGATCGTGTTTCTCTTGCAGATAACGGACAAGCTCGCCCGCTCTGTGGCTAGATGTTGCCCTAACTTGGAAAAAGTATTGTGTGTCTGGATGCCCACTCGTATCTGCTTTTTCCGCCCTTGCTTTGATGGAATCAGCATTCTACGGGTGACTGCCAAATGGCTGACGCATGCATGTGGAGAGTACAGGCATTTGAATGTAGAACAGGGTTCGTACTGTAATTTCTTGTTTTTAAATGTTTTGGTTTTTGAGCGTTTAGCTAAGGCCTTGCCGATAACAAGGGGCGGGCCTTGCGAGAGCGGCGAGGGTCCCAGCAAGAAAACCCTGGTATGAATCAGTCAGCAACCTGGCAGATTATCAGCTACAGTCCTCATCATTGCGGACTGTCGGGGCGGCTGAGCCGCGCTGCACTGTGACGCGACAGCGGCTGCGGCTCGGTGACGGCGAATCAGCTGATTTCGATGGAATTCGGCTGCGAATTCCCACTTTTTCAGCTCTTCAAGCTTCGAAAGTGGAAGGTGAGTTATTTTGAACAATTTTTAAATTACGGCTCTGAATGAATCTGAAAGAATGCAAGCCATTTGAATAAATGCCTGAAATAAGGCAAAATACAAGGAAAAGAGCATAATAATAGACATAAAAATAAAGGAAATTAGAGCCAGTACAATTTAAAATTGTTAAAATGACTCACCTTCCACTTTCAAAGCTTGAAGAGCTGAAAAAAATGGAAATTTCGGCAGCCGATTCCATGCAAATAGCTTTTGCATTTCGGCCGTCACCGAGTTGCAGCGCATATCGCGTGCAGCGCGGCTCAGCGGCCCCGACACTCCGCAAATGATGAGGATGTATATCTTTAGAGCTGAGGCCATCAGCGAGGACGACGTTCTTTTGCCCTCCGATTGCTGGGATATTATCTCCTCAAGTTTGCTTCTCTTAGGTCGAAAATGTAAAACACACAGTCGATTTATTCCTCCACTCTTAATCAGAGAGCCAAATTCTTAACTGTTCCACTATCAGTTTTGGTAGACAGTTGGTTGAGCTGAATGTGGTCAGTTTCAGTTAAATCGCTATATTCACAGCCCGTTGTTCAACAACCCCGATGAATGGCAGCTCACTCCGGCTGCCATCAATTTAGGCTATGGAAAGCCAGCAGTATTGGCTGAACATATAAAAGCCGTTTGTATATTAATTTATGTATAAAAAGAACTATGGGATCCTGTTCCTCTCCTGTGAATAGCACTATTCCTCTTTTCTATATACTTCGCTTTTTAGATCTGAATTTACCTCATTTTTGTAATTAATTGCTGGTGATGCTTGTACAGCTGAGGTAGCGTTCATAGTTCGCGACTTCTGGCTGCCCACGAAATCTTCTGTAAGGATTTGATACGCGTCGATCTTGCACCCAGAGCCGAGCGATCGCGCGGTTGTTGTCGCGAAGTATGAACGCGGCCTGACGTATGTAACTAGTGGGCTTTGTTTCAAAAATGCAGTTCTTGGAACGGCTTTGTTGATATGTATTGCTTGGTTTTGGCCATTTTTAAGTAACCTCTTCTCTCTTCAGTTTCGTTTCATTGTTATTAAATCTTATTTTATGTAGGAATTTCGTTTTTATGCAAAATATTGGAGAGATCTATGGTTCTTCAGGTTTTGAGCTTAGCTAGAAATTCGTGGATAGGTGATTGGTAATGTATAGCGAATAGATTAGTGCTTGCTTATCGCGAAATATACTCCGTATCCCAGAGATGGGGGAGGGCGTGGCTGCGTACTGCACTTGGGCGTGGCGGCGGCTGCGCTATTTTTTGGAGGTTTGTTTTAGGGGAGTTGTATTTCTTTTTGTCCAGCACATGACAAAATGCCAGTTGTTTCAAATAAAAGTATTTCACGGAAAACGCCCCTGCGATATGTGGAAATAAGTCTACATCCTCTAAAGGGCAGCCACACCTTCCCCATCTCTGATATGCGAAGTCTAAGTATTGCTATGAACTTATTGTATTTTTGTGGTCCAAATAAATGTCAATATGAACAACTTTTCGTCCTGCTCACTTGTGTTGAAAACAGAAGGTACATTATTATGCAAAACTTTGAACATATACGCTAATATTGCTTAATTTTTGTCGGGTAGTTTTTTTCGAGAGGGTCCGCAAGCATTTCACCGTTGCATTTTCTGTTCAGGAATTTGAAGGGAAGAGAATGAGGAAGAGGGAAGGGTGAAAGAATGAAGGAAGGACGAAGAAAAAAGGAAGTAGGGTAAGGCAGCAGTTGACAGATATCTGAGATTTACGGTGTTTGCGAGCCGCGAGGGGACCTATTTGCACACGCGGTGATCTTGTGAATTTGATATTCAGACGCCTTCTTTGGGATGGGTAGTCTTTCCCGCAAGCCGCAGCATGGAGAATGGACCCTCTTGGGGGACCATATTCGTCAAATCTCAAAAACATGCGAGAAAAGCTGCGAACAGCTTTACCTACGAGGCAGGCTCTGCCTACTGGCCACTGCAACGCCCACTTCCACATTAAACTACTGCCTGACGGTGCTGTTGTTCTGCTGCTAACTCTCCATCCCAAATGGTGGGAGTGAGGTGATAAGGAGAAGCAAATATTAACAGCCGAGAACTCGAACGACCACGCTCTCTCCGCCTTGTGCACGTACGAAATTGGTTTGGCATGGGGTTCTTCATGAGGGCAGTTTTAGGGCTCGTTTTTTTCTTAATTTGTGCTATTCGCCATCTTGCCATCAGTGTTTAAGCCATTTTCGGACGTGAGGTGTGCCATTTATGGCATATACCCATTAGTTTCAGATTTTTGTATAATGTGGGATCTGTTGGTGCTGACAGCTGGAAATGACCAACAAAAGCGTAACTTTGAGCTTCTTCTCGCCGAAGTGAACACATCACTTTATTGTCGAGAGACCGTAGTGATCTCTGATTATCCGAAGGACGTGAGGATTGGTAAGTGCGAACTGATTCTTCGAAGCTCTAAAGGCCCACATAGGCCTTTCAGTGTTCCAACCTTTGACAGCATAACAACAATGATTGATTGTTTGAAAATGGTGTTACTTCTGGACTTTCCATTCCATTTATCCGTCATTTTAATCCTTCTTTGCTTGTTTCTCGTCATCTCGGCAATATTCTCTCTCTTTTAGACGTATTATTTCCTAGTTCAATTATCTAGTTAGACCCAAGGGCACATTCCACGTTAACCAAATGGGCGGAGAAGTGGATTGAGACTCATAACTGATGCCTCGTTAGTGTGTCCCTCCTTTTCGTCCTTTCGAAGGGAGGCATGATTGGCTAAGACACAGTGTTATGGGGTCTCCGACGAATTCCCCGCCCATCTGGTAATCGCGGAATGCGCCTTCAACGGTCGCCGTTAGATGGTTTCTGATTTATGACTTTCTGGTTCTTTGACCAGCTTCATTTATCAGAACTCGGGCAAAGAGAACACAATGGGTGAAGGCGTCGACCAACTGAGTGATATCATTTTTGTATTGTAAAGAGTAGAAAGGATTGACCTTCTGGTAATTTAAAGGTGATGCTGCGTAATCACTCAGATGCTCCAAATTTTCTGGGTGGAGAACTCGTACATGGCGTATCCTTGAGGAGTCGATAGATGCAGGCGCTTCGTCTCTTACGACATCATCTAGTGATAGTGAGTCGTATCTTTTACAGGTTCGGGCGGTGCTACACTGAATGTTCTGCATTCCATCGAAAACCGTTCGAAGGGACAAAAGGTACGAGAGTTCTTTGGAAGCCTCCACCTAGTAAGAGAAACCAAAAGAAAAAAGAATTGTGCGCTACACGGATAAATATAGTTGTTTTCGCTGCAGACACTGGGGCGTGTGAAGGAGGGGGGGGGGGCTCGGTTAGGCGCGTCACAAGCCCGTTTTCCTCCGATTTTCATCACTTTCCCACTTCAACAACTTGTAGGAAGGTGACTGACGCTGCGCCGAACCTAGCCCTGTGGCAGATCCCAGCGTCTGCGACAAAACGGCTGTAATTACTGTGGCGAGGAGTTTCGGAAACCAATATGGGGTATGGCGCTCTCTGCAAGTATTGCCTCACACCCGGAGGAATTCCTCACTTCACACTTCAGTGGAGATCTTTGGACATTCAAAAGAGGCTGATGTACGTAAGGAATGGATCGGGACTTGAATGCTTTCTCATGGAGAAGCAGTGCACAGTGGCCGTATGGGCGGAGACAATCAACCATGTGCCCTTTTTTTGCACTCTCCTTTCTTACCATTTTGGAAGGAGGGCACACCAGTGAGGTGGACACAGTGGTTGACTGTCTCCGCCCACACGTTCATCATGGACTGTTCCTGTGCAACGTGCCGTTTCAGGTATTACTGATCCATTCTGGTGGCCTTTCTCAGCGATTGCCTCATGTTTCAGCGTTTGGAAAAATATTCCTCACTTTACCCAATGGCATCACGGCACTCGAAGCGAAACTGCGTACGTACCAGTACGTTTTTCTCCAATTCAAAATTTTAGAACTCTGAAATATCGTGGGAGTTATAAAGGAACAAAATTTAGTAAATTTTGATTGAAGTGGAAATTTGGCATAAATTATCTCCATCATGAGCATCATTGATCTACAAGGGTTGTCCAGTGCTAATGCTAGCCTTAGTTCACGCGCAGAAGCGCTTGAGAACCACTGTTGTGCCTGTTGAACTCAGCTGCCACAACTGCAGGACCCTATTCTGAAGAGCAAATTCATTCCACGCTAATCATGAGGGCGGGTTGGGCGTACCACTATGGTCTCCATATTTGGCCCGCCCCTTTCCTTTGGCGGCCTACGATTAAAGAATGCGCAATGGTAGGCCCGGCTCCGCCCAAACGGCTATTTCGAGCTGTGAAGTCCACAGAAACGAGACAGAGAGAACTACCGTGTTAACCATTTTCCAACGAAGAAGCGGTAGTAACTTCAGATTGCAGCAAGGACGAGGGCGAAAAGCTCTAACAATGATGGAAATGGTCTTCGGCCCCACTTTTCCTGTACTGCCTCACTCAAATTCAGGCCAGATTTTGATCGAATCTTTCCATGTGAGTAGATTTAATCAAGAGATCGTCTGCAGCGTAGTTTGACCCTCTTAACCTCAATGCCACTTTCGTTCAAAAACGAAGGCGTCGGTGCCAGCGCCACGGAACGTATTGGCAGCAGCACTCATGGCGTCCGTCAGGCTGTCAGGCAGGAAAAAGCCCTGGGGCAAGTTTTTAACAAACTCTGTGTTGCGTTGTGCTTTCACGCCGGAGTCTGTGGTACGAGCGCCAGGCTTTTTTGGGCTAGTCAAACTAGCTTCAGGGTTAACACTTCCGGGCAAATCTACTCTGGGAAAGTTTTCTATCTGGCCGGCTTTTTGAAGGGTGGGGAATGTAGAGAGTGAATAAAGGCAGGCATTTTGTCAATAGATATTGTAGAGCTGACTGTTCTGTTTCAGGTCTCTTCCAACGACACTTCCCCCTGGACTTCTCGTCGCCGCCTCGGATGTACTCGAAGACGTTTCAGCTTTTGAAAAATGTGACCCGACCTCCGACATGGTCCTTTTCGCCACCGAGTCAAATTTGGAGGTAACTCATGAAATTCACTTCATCGCTTTACTGGTCCGGTCGATGTTAGAAGTGAAGTTGTATAATATTGCAGCACCTCAGTAAAAATATTGGGCGTGATGCAAATTTTGGCGCAGTTCGGCTCGGTGGGGGCACTGAGTGGTACATCGAAGTTTTACAGGCCACCTTATGAAGACCTGTAAATACCTGTAACCAAAGTGGCAAGTCAATTGTACCGTTTCGCAGCTCTTCACAAGGCTTAACAGGTCTCATCGAAGTGAAACCTGTTAGTTAACCTGAATTAGTAAAGAAACCAGCGAAGTACAAAGTGCTCAAAATGCCCTCCCCTCCCTTTTCTCCCTTTAATCCAAATAGCGTCCAAGTCTTCTTGGCGAGTTGTAGGTGGAGGACGGCCATGCTGGCGATAGATAATGGTCCGTTGGAAGAAGTGCCTCCCACAAAATTTGGTGCAGGCTTGGGAATTGTGTTTAGTGATACGATAGCTTCATTCTAATACTGTTCTTATTTCGATCCATTCAACTGAATTTGGCAGGCCAGTTCTAGCCCAGAATTTGTCCTCGGTCGGACTCATTCTCTACGCAAGTTGCAGGGGAAATATTGAATCACTGGTTCAGGTAGCATCAGGCCATGGCGTGTTTGTAATGGAGAATGACCGATTGAAATCGGTGCTACAGAAGCCTTCTCTGGAGGAGATGAGAGCCGCAGGAGCGATTCTACCGACAGGAAATGCTCTTACAGATTGGTTAGTTTAATCAACACGATCAACTGGTGAAAGTAGAGCAGCGAAATGCCAAGCGCGAGCACTCCAAGTTTGCGCCATGCATTCGACATCCAGTGAGAGAACATTTATGTAAAATCTGGTCAGCGCGCCTAACTGAAGGGTTTCTCGGCTGAACCATGCGATTGCATAACCTGACGGAGAATAGGGTGGGCAGTAGGCTGAGAAGGATCCTGTCAGGGAGGTCGTATTTGCTATTGGTGTGGGGGGTGGGGTCTATGCGGATCACACCTGGCCTTGATTGGGTCCTTCTCAAGATGGGAAAAATTTTCACTTGCTGACTTTTCCCGTTTCATATACGCTATATATGCCACCGCTCGACAGCTGTTTTTGGAGAAAACAAAGAAAGTTGTGAGTCTAGTTCGCTACGGACGAAGGACGGGTCAGGCGGGATGGGCCTCGGCGCGGGTGGGCCAAAAACCCGTTCTCCTCCAGTCGCCGAAGCGAGCAAGCGACAAGGCTATATTATAGGTTCGTATCATTCGTTTTCTACCAACTGTTGTCGCATGCCAGCTTCAACAACTGTCAGAGACTTTTGGCGCTGTGGCACACTCATGCTGCCTGACGCGCCCCTTCATTCGCAGCGAACTAGAGCATAAAATATTGGGAGGTGATAGGTAGGGTGATTTAGGGGTCGTGCTTGATGAAGAAACTAGAAGCAGGGGTTGTACTGACACAACCGTTAATCACTACCAGCCATGCTACACGCTCATTACGAACCGTGGGTCAGCAGACCTGAGTTGCGGCTTTGCGGCTAAAGCTCCGTAACACGTGGAGTTGGGCGCTTAGAAACTCTTGAACAATGCCGAGTGCAATGGCGCGTACAAGAATTTACCAGGCGCAGCACCCTTTTATCTTCGAAGGAATGGGCCCTGTTGTGAACAGGAAACCCAGTTTGATCGTCATCAATTCAGCTTTTTCTGGATGTCATGGCGAGTGTGCGACCAGCTGCTATCGGTATCGCGAAGTCGTGGTCCATGCTCAGTCGAAACATGTTGTTATGGGGATTTTATGCGCCCACTTGGCACGGATCCAATTTTGAACTATCTAACGGAAGGTGAGTAGCTGCAAGGGCAAACTCTTTATAGCAGAACAGAAGCGTACAGAGAGAAATACTTACACTATACTACTACCTAAACCCCCCGGATACCTGTTCTCCCTTGTGGGAGACAAAAGGCTGCAAAGGGCTATACGACTTACTATGTGAGAAAGACACTACACAGTTGGAGCATACCAAGGATGGCAGGCTGCGACCGCTTTCATGTTTCTGCACTAGGTATGAAGCGCGTGCAAAAGGAATGCATATATAGGCTACTTCAAGACGCAATCCTCTAAACGTCAACGACATTGCCTCGGTGGTGGACACCAAAGAAGAGACCAAAGAAGAACGAAAGGGCTAGGCAAAGAGGTGGCTGGGAAGGGTGAACGTGAAGAAGACATGTCCCTGAGTTCAAAGATCGAGCCCATCGCAAACCTCCACGATGATCCGCCGAAAGACTGGAGAACTCGTAGTACCTGGAATCGACCTTGCCGCTTGTGGTAGCGTGGATCAGGTGATCCAGGTAAATGTAAAAGTAAAGTAAATGCCAAGTAAATGCTGGGTGAATGACTTAGAGAGTCCACCGATATCGCGTGCGTAGGACTGGTGACTGCCATAGAGCAGTCAAAGGCACGGTGTACCGGACAATGGTAACGATGCTCTGCGGAAGCGAGCGCTAGTCACTGTGCGTAGCCTAGAAAACAACTCCATTCTGCTGAGTCGAGAATGTTGAAGAAGGTCCTGCGGCTGGACTCATCTGGATAGAGTCATAAACATGAGGGAGGTTAAGGGACTGTTCTTATCCAGCCGAAGGAACGAAAACAGCAAAGCAAAAGCAAACAGCAGCACACATTTTTCTCGTTCCGGTCTAAAAATAAGCTCTCCACCGAATACTTCAAATTTTTTTTTGTAACCGGTAACTCTGCAGCACTTGTTCATAGGAGATGCTGAAGTATCTTCATGGCGTCAAGCCTTTGCCGGCGTGTTCTCGAAAGTCACTCCGGAAGATCGTGAACCTTGGTGTTGACGCATTTTTTCATCTTGGGACACCTCGGGAATTCCACGTTGGTGAAGTATTCTATTTTCTATACATGAGGGAATTGCTTAATCAAATTAAAGAATTTCAGGAGCATTGCAGGAAGGACTCGATATTTTCAAAGAAATTCCTGGAAACCTTTTCGAATACCATTCACTGCAATTTGACCAACTGTAGGGTAAGCTTGATAGTCATTGTAACTCTGAAAAGCACACTCCGCGCTCGCTGTATGGGCGGAGTCGAACTAATCATTGTGTTTTCCTCTTTTGGCGCGCCTCAACTTTCTAAAATGACGAGGGGAGGGGTGCGACGATTAGAAAGACGTGACTGTAGGCTCGGATTCGCCCACACGACGAGTGTGGGACACGTTTTTGAAGAGGGGTAGGAAAATAACCACGCCACACAGAACGCTATAAATCAGTTCTAAGCAAAAGCGAGAAATAAGAGCTTCATAAATCAGTAGAGTTTGCAGCGTATAGTAGTAGTTGTGGTATAGGACATCAAGCTCTCTTTTT